CATTCCCCCCTTCTCCCCCACCTTCTGTCTATCCAGTGCTAACCTCCCGCTCTTCTTTCCTTTCCTCTGCTGGCCGTGCCCAGGGAACGGCAATCCTCTTTTCTTGGTGAGAGGATCCAATGGGAGGCGCCGCTCTGGCTGCTGTAGTTTTCCTAGAACAGGACAGGAATGGCTGGGATTGGAGGGGAAACACTGGGGGCGGGACGAGTGAGGAGAGCAGAGAGGGCGGAAGAGTGGAGTGTGGAGAGATTTAGTTCCATCTGAGAGCTGTCAGTGTGAATCAAAGGCTTGTCTTTGAACGGGCAGCTATCCCGGTGGAGAGAGTGGTACTGCTCCAGCCCAGGGGTTCATTACTGCTCACAGGATAAATCTGGGGAGACAGGGCCTGGCCTCCACCTCCCGCTCCTGCGGCCTGGCTCCCCGGGCTTCTCGTGTGCTTGGCCCCACTCCCTCTCTGGTTCCTGGCAGACCTGGCAGGCAAGGCTCTGGGACCATGACTGCCAGGGCACATGTACCCTGACGTGGGCACGGACACATGCCCATGGGGTGCAGAGACATGTACATAAATGCACAGGTACAGAAGAGGGGTGAGTGTGGGGCGGGGGTGGATGCGCACTTGTGTGTGATAGTACATGTATGCTCACAAGAAGTATACGACGCCTGTCTGAGAATCTGTGAGCATTTTCGGCTGCTCTGTGATAGATTTAGAGGTCACTTAGTTCTTAGTCAAAAATGGGATTCAAGCCGTCTGTCTTCCCCGGGCCTTGGTAGGGAAGCTGTGTCCCAGCCCCGGGGCTAGGCCCAGTGGGGACAGGAGACGTATTCACACACAGAGGCTGAGACAGGCCTGGCTTTGAGACGGGCTCCTGGTCTGCCTCTGGACCCCCGTGCGGTGCAGAAGGGGGTGGCGGACAAAGCTGGAAGGCAGCGTCACCCGGGAAGATCAGGGTTGAGAACAAGAGGTGGGAGGGCGCTATGGAGAAGTGTCCTGGGTGAAGGGACAGTATCAAGGGGAGATGGAGAGGCCCAGGGGACAGGTTTGGACAATGGCCTGAGTCTGAGGCTCACTTTCTAGACTTTTCCTCACCATCCCCATATTCTCTCATGACCACCCCATGATTGCATCAGAAGCTTCCAGAGTTCTGTATCCTCCACCTGGTCTACTGCTACCCCCTCCTCCAGGGAGCCTCCTAGGACTGCCAGCCCTGCCCCGCAATGCTTCTCCTCTCCTGCAGAGGACCCTGTCCTGTCCCTCCACCCTCCTGCTGCCCTGCCTCTGCTGGGCTCTGTGGCCTAGCCTGGGCAGGGCGCTCTGCCTTCTTTCCGTGTTTCTCAGGTGGGGCTGTTGACCCAGGCATGTGCTCACTCTCATTCTGTCAATCAACAGGCCCGCTCAGAACACCTGCTGTGTGACTGGCAGCCAGGCCCCGTAGGTGATGGGGCTGGAGCTCCGAGTGACATAATGTCCCCACCCCTCGGGCAGGGCAGGGATGGGGGTGAGCAGTGCAGTGTGGACCTTCTATAGCTGAGGCGAGAAGTGATGCAAAGGGCCCTGAAGGCTCGCTGGCCAGTGACTGAGGGCTTCACAGAAGAGGTAACTATTCGAACCCCAAAGGCGGGGGAGAGAGCAGTGTCCCATCTGGGAAAAGCCTGGCCAAAGGCATGAGGGGTAATAAAGGTGTGGAGGGTGCAGAAGAGAGAGCGCGGGACCTGGTCATGCAGGCCTGGGGCTTTCTCCCCATCATGGACCAACCTGTGGGCACTGGACTCTGTCTCATTCTGTCTTGGCTACAGGACTGTTTGGGGCCAGGATCTAGGCTGCCTTTCCATGGAGTTAAATTCCCTAGACCCTCCATGTCCCTCCTCTGGGCTCTTCAGGATCATTGCCTCCATTCTCCAGCCTCCAGGCAAGATTGCTTCCGCCAGGCCTAAACCCAGAGGGCATTTTACGTCCAAGTCCCCAGGAGGACACACACCTTCTTTGTCATGTCACTGTTCAGGGTTCTAGCAGTCCCTCTACTTACCCGCCCAGGAGAGAGAAGGGTTATAGCTCCCACTAGTGGGCACGTGCCAGGAATGCCCCTGGCATGTCATAGCCTCATCCATTCAGCCTTCACAGAGCTCTGGGAGGTGTCTGCATCCCTCAGTTCACCAATAAGGGCAACGAGGCTTAGAGAGTAAGTGACTTGGCCGAGGTCACACAGCTAGGAAGGGGCAGTCGCACTCCATGAGCCCGTCTGTCTCCTGAGCTTGTGCTCTTAAAAGGAACCTTTGCGGCTCTTAGTCCAGACTTGTCTTTGGAGTCATTGCAAAGGTGAGCACACACAGGCCAGACAGGGGAGGGGCAGGCCAAGGTCATGGACTCCGCCCTCCGGCAAGATCTCTGCCTCCGACTCTGACCCCAAGGGCTTCTGCTGAGTGTCCCACTGCAGGTCGGCCTCGGGCTTGCTTCAGTGGACAAGGAGCCAGCTTGTCGCTGTCCTTGGAGACTTCGCTAGGAAACCAGGGTGTCCCAGCCCCAGGCAGGAGCGCTGTGAATATCAATTCCATCTCCGAGCCACGGCTCTCTGGCTGCCCCACTCCCAAGCCCTTGACTCGGGCTCTGGGGGCTGTGGAAGGAGAAGCATGAGTGTGGAGAGTTTGCAGCATGAAGCTACACTGGAGAAATGCGCAATGATATGAATAAATTTAAATAATAATGAGGACAGTGCCTGAATTAATAATGCTGGCTGCTCACCTGACCCACCCCCTCCCCTGGAAATACGGGCGTGCCTATCCTTTGCCTCTTTAGAAGACATGGGTGGACTGCCAGGTCAGCAGAGTTGGGGAGCTGCTCACGGGTGTGGGGGAGGAGCCCTGTCTCCAACTCCCTGATCCCCCGCAGACCCAAAGAGCTAGATTTGCACCCTTAACCAAAAGATGCTTCCTCTGTGTATGAGCTCATAAGCTGGCCATCAGTCACTCCTGGCCCGGCCCCCTCTTCTTGGTCCCTTTATGTGCAGCAACCAATTTGGATGTCAAACGTGCAGGGAAATTTAGAGGAGAAAGATATCACAGCCCTCGGCCTTGAGCAGAGGTTCTCATTCTGGTAAACAGTTAGGGCAGGTACCCTACCCACCCACTGCCCTCTATCCCATGACAAACAAAAGCATGGGCACAGACTATCTGAAATCCCATGGACAGGCCTGTGACAGCAGGGCCGAGTGATGGGACAAGCTGTTTGCCCAAGGAGCTAAGGGGCCAATCCTGGAGGACTTCCTGGAAGTGGAGCAGCTTTGGAAAGAAGGGGAGAAATGAAGCTGAGGAGGGGAAAAAAAGAAGAGGAGGACAAACTAGGGTCCTGTCTCATAATTTACAGGGACGTCTTGGAAGGGGGAGGGACAGGTTTCGTTTGCTTCCTTATCCACAAAATAATGGAGAATCAGAGAAATTTTGGAAAACTTAGTTTGGAAACAGTTGGATTTGGGATGGGGTTTCTGCAAAGAAGGGGAAGGCGTCCTGGGGAAAATTGATTGGGTTACAGTGGTGTGACACATTGGGGACGTGGGAGGATGCCCAGACCTCTCCCTTGCTGTTCCTCAGCCCCTCCACCTCTGCCCTCTTTCCCACAGCCCTGCGCGGAAGCCGAGGCTCTGCTCCTGAGGCCATGCGCCGTGCCCGGGCCTGCCCACCACTGGGCTGGGCACGCGGGCTGCAGGCGGGCGCAGGGAGTGGTGGGGAGAAGAAACCGCCGTCCAATTCCCTGCTCCACTTAGACTCCACCATTAAAGGCAATTACTCTGCGGTTCTCTAATCAAGTGCTCCGGGCCGGGCTGCCAGCGGGTGGCTGGATGCAGCTCCCACAGTATGTGCCAGAGCTACATACACAGGACAGGGCGTGCACCACGCAGCAGGGGCATAGGCACTTGGTTTTGGATACACAGCCACGCAGGCAGCTCTGCACACGTGGACACACCGGCCCCATAGATGCTGCCCTTAGCACTTGCTGGACGCATTCAGAGGGAGCGGGACCACATGGTTGCACATGTGTGTTCCCTGACATTGGCTCACACAGAGCATGTGCAAGTAGGGTGCAATGGTGTATTCATGTCTCAGGACGAAGGGGACCGCACCGTCACCGGCGGCGTTGGTGACGGGCTTCCTGGAACTGGAATGTGCTTTCCGCCTACTTTGCTCCAGTCTCTCTCTGCCTCCTGCCCAGGCGATGCCTGCTCAGAGGCCACGGCCATTATAATATCAGCCTGAGTACTTATTTATTCATTAATTCAACAAGCCTTTAGTAAGCACTGTGAGCCAGCGCTGACTGACACGGGTGTCAGGGAGGGGCAGTGGGAGGGAAGAGCCTGGGCCCGGAGTTCTGAGATTCCGGTTCGAGTCCCAGCTCTGCCTTTAACCCACTGGTGTCCTTGGTTAGGGCCTCGGCGTCCTCATCTGGAAGCTGAGAGGGTTCGACTAGCCCCGTCGCCAAGGCCGTTGCTAATAGTGTTCCACTTCCTATGATTGCTGAGCACTCGGCTCCTGAGACCATTCCTGGGGACCGTGGAGGGAGGAAGGGATCAGGGTGAGCGTGTGGCATCCTGCAGGGAAGGTGCTGGGCTGAAGTGGGCAGATAGGAGGGTCCAGGCCCAGGCCTCTCTCTCCAGCCGATGCAGGGCGGGAGCAGGAGCCTGCAGGGCGGGAGCAGGAGTCGGGAGTGGCTGCCTCTGGGTGGATCTCCTCTCCCCATGCATCTCCTTACCGGTGCCGCCTTTGGCTTTGACAGGGACCCAGACGCGCTTCAGCCAGGAGCCAGCCGATCAGA